ACCATTGCGATAGCCCCTCGACATGGCATGTGACATCATCAAGTGCCGGCCTCGGGCTGGCGTTTCAGGTTTAGGGCTTGGGGCTTAGGGTTTAGGGTTTAGGGCCGGTTTAGGGTAGCCACTTCGTCAGATGCGGCTTTCACTCCCTGAGTTTCGATGACGATGCGTTGCCTCGACGTCGCACAGGTGTTAAACATATATGTGTTTGGGATCACTGATGCTGCTCAGCAGTCGCCCGTGTGTCCTTGACTTTCTCCAGCGTGCTCTCAGGTTCTACAAATGGGGAATGGTCATATGCCTCCTAATAGCGCCCCGACCTCAGCTGTCTGGTCTTGTATGTGTCTGGGGCTACGTCTGTGTTTTGCTGGCGGTCGATGCGCAAGATCCGGAGAGTCGCCCCAAAAGTACAACACACAGCCTGAACCCCAAACCCTAAACCCTAAAACCCTTAAACCTTAAACCTTAAACCTTAAACCCCAAAACCCTAAATCCTAAACCCTAAACCCTAAAACCCTTAAAAAGCTACAGTCATCAGACCAGACACGTCAGCAAACATGACCCATGGATCACAGCTCGGAGAGTTTCTGAGGACGATTGCCCTGTACCTGACAGTCAAATGCCCGTGCGGCCCGGGGATCTTTAAGGGTACTTGTGAGAGAGGGTTTTAGGGTTTAGGGTTTGGGGTTTGGGGTTTAGGGTTTAGGGTTTAGGGTTTAGGGTTTGGGGTTTAGGGTTTAGGGTTTAGGGTTTTTAGGGTTTTTAGTGTTTTTAGGGTTTTTAGGGTTTTTAGGGTTTTTAGGGTTTTTAGGGTTTTTAGGGTTTTTAGGGTTTTTAGGGTTTTTAGGGTTTTTGGGGTTTTTAGGGTTTTTGGGGTTTTTAGGGTTTTAAGGGTTTTTAGGGTTTTTAGGGTTTATCGGCCTTGGTTGGTAAGCCCGGGCAGCCCCATTCCTTTCATTTTGTTTTTTGGGGGGGGGTCTTAAGCCCTCACAGCTGTGTGGAGTCTCATTCTTGACTAAGTGGCAAATGCTGCTGAACACTGCTACCTTAGGGTTTAGGGTTTAGGGTTTAGGGTTTAGGGCTTAGGGCTTAGGGTTTAGGGTTGAGGGCGCAGGTACGCCTCCATTTGCCCTGCCGGCTTCGCTGCAATGATGGCCGCGGCCCCAGTGTCTTCCATATGGTTTCGACTCGGTTCGGGATAAGGTCGGAGACCTTAAGCCCCCAAAACCCGCAGTTTCCTAAGCATGGTGGTTTTTTTCCCCGTTAGACCTTAAGCCCAAGACCCTAAACCTAAACGCTCATCAGGTCGGAATGACAACGATTTGGTTGGAACATAGGATTTGGGGTTTAGGGTTTAGGGTTCTCCTTTGCGTAGTACGGGCATCCGTTGGATTGTCTGTTCGGAAAGACTCTCGCAGGTGTCCTAGAAATCAGAAGCAAGCCGAAGCTGAGTCCTGCATGTGGTCGAACCCCAAAGCCCTGACACACAAGGCCTGACAGTGACTCTAAACTCTAAACCCTAAACTTAACCCTGAACCCTATACCCTTAAAAGTTTTCATGTATCATACCTAGCAGACTCGGCGGAGGCCAAAGACAGGATGCCCAAGGATTCTAAGGTTGACCGGATCTGAAGTGCTTTATGGGTTGAGGGTTTAGGGTTTAGGGTTGAGGGTTTAGGGCTTAGGGACCACAACATCCTAAACCATGAAGCCCCCAAGATAAAGCCCAGATCACCGGCATCAGCGCTGCAGCCACGGTGCGCCCGAAGATTTTGGGGTCAGGGGGGTAAGGAGGGAAAGGGGGGTAAGGAGGGTAATTAAGGGGGGGGGGGGTTGGGGGGTAGGGGGCGGGTAAGGGGTAAGGGGTGTCAGGGGGTCAGGAACTTAGGTCTTGGCGCTTGTGCCGAAGACTTCAACCTCCAAACCCTAAACCCAGTGCAGTGCTTCATTCACGCAAGAGTAGTTCTCTAAAGCCGGGTCCTTGTTTGGGGCCTATATATATATATATATGTACGTAGGACCTTTAGGGTCTATTTGGCACGCCTCTTTTGCCGCCGGGGAAATCCCTAGATTTGATTTTCAAGGATTTCATGAAATTTAAAATGCCCAAAAAATCCTTGAAATCCTTAAAAAAATCAAATCCCGGGATTTAATATTTTAAGGATTTCAAGGATTTTTTGGGCATTTTAAATTTTATGAAATCCTTGAAAAATCAAATCCCGGGATTTAATTTTTCAAGGATTTCAAGGATTTCATAAAATTTAAATACCGGAACTCCTGCAAAAGCAAACCGCCCCCCTCCCCACTCAGAGTACGGGGAAGACCACGCGGATTTTAAAATTTATGAAATCCTTGAAATCCTTGAAAAATTAAATCCCGGGATTTGATTTTTCAAGGATTTCATGAAATTTAAAATGCCCAAAAAATCCTTGAAATCCTTAAAAAATCAAATCCCGGGATTTAATATTTTAAGGATTTCAAGGATTTTTTGGGCATTTTAAAT